CTAGCCTTAAACAACGAGCAATATTTGACAATAGCATATTTGCCAACATAGCGTTAAGCAATGAGAATGAAATAAGAAACTTAGCAGGAAATGTTGCTTAATAATATATTTATGGGGGAAGCATCACCCCAAGCTCAGCAAGTGAGGAACCAGAGGAAAACGACTGTAGTTACCTGTATTTTTTTTTACACACTGCTTGTACTTGCTTAGAATAATTGGACTATATTTAAATCCCTTGTGTCCATTTGAGCGCTCAGTCGTAACCTTCCAATCACCTACGAAGTGTTTTATTTTTATTTTTTTATATATTTTTTATAAATGAACATAGCTTGATCTCAGCCAGTTCATTTCACCCTAATTTCTCATGCTCATATGCTCACATTACTCAGCGTGAGCACATATTCAAGTGGATCAGAAATTATGAATCTCTAATAAGTGGCAGTCCAGCAGGGGAAGCATACACACTGCGGAAATACTTCAAATGACGGTCATTGATATTACATTCTTATATGTATAGAAGCCATTAGGAGCGATAAACGCATGCTTCTGATGCATCTGAAATCAACCGCACACTCACACAGCTAATGAAACATCAACCTTAGAAATAAACAACCGTAACATTGAGATTATGCCGCTGAATACAGTGAACCCCAGTTGAAACGCATACACGAGAATGCTTCTTTCATTTAAACTTGTTCTCATGGCCTTAACTATCGGCGTGTCCTCAGAGCGATTACATGATCTAGACTACGTGTCTATGATGCTGCTGCAAATATGCTTTTTTTCAATTAGCAGACCAGGTAATATACACAGCATTATGGATTAAAACAGCATTCACTTATCTTAGATGTGGATTTCAGATGTTCTGAAACACGCTGCAACAGTTTGATTTGCGAGCAGCGATGCTTGATTTGCTCCGGAGCAAGCTGAAATAATGCTGCTGAGTAATACTGAATAGAGCTTATATAGGAACGCCGTGATAGGTGTCGTATTCCTATAGGTAGATGTGATCAGCTGAGAATCTCAGCTTGACTCACATGACCTGCCAGAACTAACGCTAAAGCTTAATGTCCGAGCCAAACAGAAGCTATGGCTAACAGGGGAGGTCTACAGACTCCTGAAGACGCAGAACGCTGCCTTCAGAACTGGAGATGAGGTGGGACTGAAGACAGCAAGGGCCAACCTATCCCGCGGCATCAGAGAGGCTAAGAGACAGTACTCCAGGAGATTAGCCCATAATTTCAGCAACAGCAGAGTCACTCGGAGCCTGTGGCAGGGGATACAGACCATTACGGACTACAAGCCCCCACCGCAGACCTGTGACAGCACCATCTCCCTGCTGAACACCTTCTCCGCTCGCTTTGAGGCACTAAACAGCACCACTGCACAGAAGACTCCACCTCCTCCAGGTCGACCAGGTGATGACGCTGTCCCCAGACAGCGTGAGGAGATCCCTCAGCAGGATCAATGCACGCAAAGCTCCAGGTCCTGACAACATTCCTGAGCGTGTACTGAAAGACTGTGCACTCACCGATGTCTTCACAGACATTTTCAACATCTCACTAAGTCAGGCTGTTGTCCCCACATGCTTCAAAGCTACCACCATCATTCCAGTCCCGAAGAAGTCGTCTCCATCCTGCTTCAATGACTACCGTCCAATTGCACTTACCCCCATCCTCATGAAGTGCTTTGAACGGCTAGTCATGCACCACATCAAGTCTGCCCTCCCCCCCTCCTTGGACCCCTTCCAGTTTGCATATCGGTCCAAACGCTCGACCGATGACGCCATCGCCACTACCCTCCACTCAGCACTCCGCTCGACCGATGATGCCATCGCCACTACCCTCCACTCAGCATTCACACATCTGGACAAAAAAGACTCCATGTTAGAATGCTGTTCATAGACTTCAGTTCAGCATTCAACATAATCATCCCTCAACAGCTCATTCACAAACGGATCCAGCTGGGGCTCAACACTTCACTGTGCAACTGGCTGTTGGACTTCCTGACTGGGAGACCTCAGGCAGTACAGGTCAGCAGTAACACATCCAGCACCATCACACTGAACACTGGGGCCACCCAAGGATGTGTGCTGAGCCCTCTCATCTTCACTCTGCTGACACACGACTGCACACCGTCACACAACTGTATGTGCTGTACATGTGGCAGAATTGACAATAAAGCAGACTTTGACTTTGATGTATTGGTAGTAGCAAGTCTCCATACCTACTCTGCAGCAGCAGCAGCAGTAATAATAGCAGCAGTAGCGTGTGCAGCAGATCTAGTCTACCAAAACCAAGTACATTAACATTGCCATATTCATTAACATACCAAACTATCCAGAGAGTTGTCATGACAGAATAGTCACACTGTGAAATGCAGTCACTCTGCAAAGTATAACAATATTTAAAAATAGAAAGAAAAATAACTTATTTTATTGAATGAACCATTCACAAACTGAATGTTGGAATGGGAACCATTCTGTTGTACAGTCAGGTTTCTGTTTCAGAAAGA